AGCTTGCACAGCTCTGCCAGAGCCTTATTTTTTCCTGCCTTCCAAGAACAGGGCTGTGTTCCATCCCCTGCCGCCCCCTCAGCTGGTGCTGGGAAGAGTAGCTGTGTTTAGCTCACTGTTCCTGGAAGTCGCTGAGACACCGAGCATCGAGAAACCAGCATTTTCTGTAGCAGGATCTGTCTGAATGGAAAAGATGAGCTGATCTTCAGCCCTTGTTTGCTCGCCTGAGTTAACCCTCACTGCTCCAGAAGAGGCTGTGTGTGCTTTAGCTGTGATCATTTGGAAGGGAACAAAGGCTGCCTGCATTCATTGCAGCCAGGTGTTTGGAAGCCAGTCTGGCAGGTGATGTGACATCATACCCTTCATGTATCCCAGGTTCAGTAGATTTATACTGGGACCACCTTCTGTTCTTTATTCCTGCCTTGAAGAGCTGAAGCAGCAGCAGCTTTTCAGCCAGCTCACTGTGCTGGTGGCCGCCTCCTGCCCAGGCTGAGGGAGGTGCCTTTTGGTATTCCAGGAACTTCCCAGCCACAGGCTCCCCCGAAATCATCCTGATTAAAGTATACCATGACAGGGTAATTGCAGCATTGTGCTGGTGCTCAAAATGTTTGTCACTGTGTGCTTCCAGTGCCACATGAAGATGCTGTGAGCCATAGGGCAAAATCCCTTCCATTCAGTGAAATCATTTACATGGGGTCTGTGTTTGTTCTATGGATAGGAGGAAGAGCTGCAGTTAATAATCTTGTAATTGGCCATATTGGCTTCTGGTTCTTGCTGTGTGATTGCAACCAAGCACTGTTTTCTGGTGCCTCAGTGTAGTGTGGGATGCAGTGGCTCTGTGGGGTTCCCAGGCAGCGCTCTCTGGGAACACCGACTATTACTGGGTCACTGGAAACACACTGGCTCATTTGCTTCTTTCTTCAGGCTGACTCAAAGCTGTTACTTCACAGCTGTGACTGTCTCAGCCATAGCCCCAGTGCCAAATTTAATGAGTCTGATGGCTGTGGTGGCCCTGATGGAACCCAGAAAGTAGTTTAAAGTGACCAGGATGTAACAGGTATAAATATTTCTGTTGCTATTTGCATGGATGCAGTTAGCCAAAGAGTAGTCTAGAGGTCTTTCTGCTGTGATGTGACTTTCCCTATTCAAGAGAGCAAGGAAATCCCTTCCTTTCCCTCTGTGCTTCAAATTGACTTGAATTTCCACTTGACATAGGTCATCAAGCTGCTTTTGGTCAGGCTGGAGGTTTTACACTTGCAGTCCAATTTGGAGGAGGTCTGCTTCCAATTTCAGCTCCTCAGTACGTTCATCCAGGACATAAACCTATTGTGAATGACAGCAAAGGCATCTGTCAAGGTACACACAAAGGAGGAGAGAATGAGTGGGGCTTGGGTAACCCAGGATGTCAAATTCTCTGTAGCTGCTGCTGGGTGCTGCACGCAATGAGCTGGCTTGATAAGATGGTCTTTGTGCCTAACCATAGTTTGTGGAAACTACTGATTCTCTGGGCACAGGAGGTGAAGGAAGAAGGGCTGAAGCACTGGGATCTGGCTGAAGCCCATGCTTTGCCCCCATCCTGCCCCCGAAGAAGTTCACAGCTGCTCAACTCCAGACTGCAGCAAAGAGGCAGCAGTGTGTAAGGGCTGTCCAGGAGTGTGCCCTCTTGGGAGGAAGCTGAGCCAATGGCCCTCCCTGTCTTCCCTTCTCTTCCGTGGGAGTGCTACAACTTGCTTGCCCGGATGAACAACAGCAGGGAGGTTCTCTGACTCGAGCATGTTTCCTGCAGAAGCACACTGTGTGGTGCCAGAGGCTGCCTGCCACCTCTGCTGTGTTCTGCGGAGCTGAAGGTGCTGCCACTCGCGGTTCTCTGCTCAGCCCTTCTCTTGCGTGTGGTCTCATTTTGGTTTGTGCAAATTCTTGCTGCAGCGTGGGAAGTTGCCAGAGCAGTGATGTTCGTGCTGCTGACGAGCCTGTAAAAGTTTTTGTTTGACTGCCTCAGTTCTTGGAATTGATGTAGGCCAAGCAGCATCTTGAAAAACAGTAACTAGAAAAATACTCTTCCACCTAATGCTTTGCTATTAGCACAGGTTCAAAGGAAAACCAGAGCCACTGCAAAAGACTGCAGGCATCCTGTGTGGTGAGGAGGTGTCAGCAGCTGAGTCAGGCTCACAGAATGTGGTTTAAACAAAAGCCCTGCTGGACACAGCCTTGGCCTTGTACCATGCCCATAAGATGGGAGAGTGCTTGCGGGGGCCAGAGTGACTAACCATGCTTACAAAGTGTGATACCAGGCTTCTGCCATTGCACCCTGGCCTTACAGATAAACACATACAGGAACACAATATCATTGTCCTATTTCTAAGGAACAGACTGATGGCAGCAAAATAAGGCAGTAGCGTATATGATCTCAGTGACCCTGTGACAGCCATCTCAGAATCTGGCAAAGCCTTCCTGCTAACCGGTTTTCCAACAGCCTTGAGTTTCTATGGATGAGGAATAAGAACTTTCCTTGACTTGGGCTCCTGTGATAAAAATGTTACTGCTATTAGTAGAAGCATCAGAATCAGGCTGCCTGCTCCTCAGCATGTAGTTGTTCTTCCTAGGCTTGGGGCCCTAGGACATTAGGTCACATGAGCTGTGACATTTGTCCTAGAAATACCAGCCACAAAACTTCAAGTACTCGTTATTATTTCCATTGCAGAGCCATTTAGCTTTTTGCAGTCTGGAGTGCATTTAACATTACAGGCGTATACTGTCCAGCAGCCCACACCTAGAAGCCTTGCATTCAATATCGTGGAGGCAGGCACAGGGAAAAGAGAGACCAGGAGCGTGGGGATGTGCAGTGGTTTGCCCCAGTACAGCTAGCCTATCAGGGCAGAAATGCAAACAGACTTTGGGGCTTCTGAGTCTCAGTCGGCACCTTTGCTGCACCACAGCTGGGGGTAAAGGTCAGAAATGGATGTGGTCACTTGGGGCTCGTAACCCAAACCAACAGCATGGCAGATTTGGAGCTGAAAGGTGGTGTGGTATTTCTATTGTGCACACACAGGACTCCGAAACAGTGCTTGAAATACAGTTTAGTTATTCTTCAAATGGACAAACCCCCCGTGTTCAAGCGTGAAGTTTTTCTGGGAAGAGCAGAGCAGTCCCCTCTTAAGAGTGCATTTTCTGTAGAAAGAGGCCTGCGTTTCCCTAACTCATGTCCTGTTTCTGGTGGCTTCGTGGCTTTTGACACTGAGCAGTTGGGCCAGGATCCTTTCTGACTGTGCAGTGGGATTTTTTGAAGGCCCATGCATGCTTCCATGCCAGCCCTGTCCATCTGGGGACAGTGAGTGCCTCTTTCTCAGCTCATCATAAGCAGCTGCAGCATGTGTGCAGGAGCAATGTAGTAGGCATGGTTGTGTCTCCAGGGAGCAGCAGGAGGGAGCATGGAAGCCCAGCTGGCATGTGTGTCTTGTGCAGTAGAAATTTCCAGATGCATCCTGAGGTGCTTTTGTCTCGAGTGCTGTACGAACACAGGCAGTGCTGGGCTCTGCCCAGGTACTGGTGGGGAGGCAGTGCGAGTGCTGGCTCTGCTTCGGCCTGTGTTCCTGGTAGGGAGCTGGTCCTGGATGGCTCACAGAGGGCTGTGTTGTCATGTTCCATCTGCCTGCCATAGGGCTCCGGGTGTTTTTCAGTATGAATACTACTGACTGGAGGCCCTAGTATTGTACACTTCAGCTCTGGTGTCTGCTGAGAACACAGAACGGAGGGCGGCCTCTTTCCCTCAGCACAGTGCTGCTTATGTTTCTCTGCTCCCTCAGGCCTTGTTTGATTTTTCTCTACCTTCCTCATCACTCCTAAGTGACTCTCCCCGTGACCTTTCTCCATTCTCCCTCTCCCCGCCTTGCTCTTCTTTTGAGCTTCCCTTGCTTGACCTGGCTTCTTCGTCCTGCTGTTATTTACCTCCATCTGCCCCTGGCCAGCCCACCTGACCACACACTGCCTCTTCCCCTCCTATTGCCATCACCTTCGCCCTCCTTTCCTTCTCAGATTTTCTCCTCTCTGCTTTTTAGCTGGTTCCTCTGTGGTTTTCAAACACTGAGGTCCCCGCTCTCTCCAAAAGAAGAACAAATAGACTAAACAAGAGGTTTCTGCCAGGTCCTTGCTGCGCTCTCGATAAGCTCGGTGCTTCTGTAGCTCCTCGCTCTGTCAGCTCGGGCAGGCAGCCCAGCATCCCCCCTCCCACGCGCTGAGCTCACAGGGAGCTGTCACACTTTATTCTAAGAAATCAGCTAGTGTACAGTACTCAGCAGAGGCACCCCTCCCCTGGGAGGATCAGCAGAATTAGGATGTGCAGCAAGCTATCTTGGGGATTGCACAATCTTATCACCTCCTCCAGGGTGTTGGGGAGCGGTGAGCACCGTGTGCTCTGAGTCACACTTCCCCTGCAATGGCTGCAGGTTTCCTGACTCACTTCCTCCCAGGACTTCTATTTCCTTACTTCTCTACACCAACATCTCAAGCAAAAAAGTGTGACAGAGATGGAGCAGTCAAGGCGGCTGTGGCCCTGAGCTGCCTGAGCTCCATGCCACTTGTCCTGTTTCAGGATGAATGTGATGTGTCACAGCATCTGGACACAAAGGCGCTGCTTGGTGCTGAGGAGGGTGAGAATTTTGTTTGGCTATGTGGCCATTTGGTGTGGTGTGAGAAATACTCCCCTGCCCATGCCTACAAATGGAGTGACATGAATGAGGCCCCTGGCTAACGCACAGCCTCTCCTGTGCCGTCCAAGCACAGGATGGGTGCTGGCAGGGATGGGAGCTGGCAGAGCATAAGAAGGCACAGTAAAGCTCCTGCCCTGTGGCCAGCTGCCTGCTGAAGGCAGATCTTTCAGTGGCCGTTACAGTCTTGAGAACTGCTTCTGGCTCCCTGTGGGTACTGTGTTTTGTTTGAGCCTCTGCCTTGATCATTCTCTCCCACGATGAGATAAGAATCTATGATTTTCTTTTCTTTTTCAGAAAGGATGATTCCCAGCCCTTGTGGTGACAGGGGAGAGCCTGGAAAGGATGACTTCCTCCAGACTCAGCAGCCTAAGGGCCAGAAGCAGCCCCTGCAGCCACTCCACCCTGACAGCCCTTCAGTCTATTGATTCCCAAGACCTGGCACAGGGTTCAGCCCCTCCGATGAGCCCTATGCTGTTCACCTGGATGGAGCAGGAGGGCCCTGCTGAGTTCCTGGAATAGCTGTCTCTTCAATACCAGGAAGTAGTTTTCCTGCATCGTAGCCTGATTTTAGACAGTGCTATGTGATATAAATTAACTTCACGTTGCTAGTCATCCCCAAGGCTCAATTCTTTCAAGCCTTTATGTTAGAGAAAGTGTCTCTGCATGAGGCCACAGGAAGTTCTGTGTATCTCCCCAGTGAACCCCCAGGCAGTGCTTGTTTCAGCCAGAGCTGCAGCCCAGCCTGGCGTTGTACTGCATGCAGGGCCCAGCTTGGCCCAGCAGCTGGCAGGCCCCGGCCTGGCACCAGGCATTACCCCTGGGCCTGCACTCAACAAATCGCCCGTCCTGCTCACCACAGGGCCAGCGGAAGGGAGCGGGCCTCTCCCTGGGGTTCAGTGGGACTTCCTGGAAGCACTGCAAGGAGCTTCCAAGAGCTGAAACATGACACATGGTTCTGTGCATGTGTGTTAAGAGTCTGGCTGAAAGATGGAGGGAGCGTGGTTCCATGGGCCTCAAAGAGCCTCCCCCTCACAGCTCTGCCGTGCAGCGTTGGGTTGGCTGGGCTTGGATGGGGTGTCTCAGAGACTGGACACAGGCTGGTTCTTTGCGAAGCGTGGCTTTCTGTGTGGCATAGGGTAAGCAGGCTCTGCTGGGGTGCCGGTAGCTTGCATTCTCTGCTTCACAAATTAATGCTTTACTAGGAATTAAGGATATCGAGTCTGTCCTTCAGACAGCAAAGATGATGGAAAGGTCTTTTTTTCATATTTTTTTTCCACTAGCAGAAGCATATGCTGCTCATCTCGTTACTGCTAATAGCCCAGGAATGCTGCATCCCAGCAGCAATGGCCCTGTGCCTCACTCAGCAGGTAACAGCCCTGTTGTGCACTTGGATATGGACACATGAAGCCAGCAGCAGTACTCATGCAAAAATCATGAGTTTAAGCACTAGTTTGAGAATCCTGCAAACAGGGAAGATATGGAAAGTCCCCAGCTTTAAGCTTTCAAAAGGGAAGAAAAGGAGAGCCTGCAGCCCAGCTGTGTGGGGAGGGGCTCTTGGACTGCTGGAAAAGAGGGAGGTGGGCCTGGCAGCCTGGACAGCAGGGGAATAGGGGGGCACCACTGGGAATTAGCTTAGCAAGTTTGCTGCTGTCAAAGAGAAGCATTGTGAAAGTGGTCAGATCTTAACACTGAGCATGTGAGAAGGCTGGCATCTACTCTCGGAAACACATGGCAGCTGATTACCAGCCCTGTTTTTTCTTTTGTGTATTATGTGACTACATTTTTCCATTTCTTCTTGACCTCTGTTCATTTACCTGAATTCTTCAGCCTTTAAGCAAAGAGACTATGAAACAGAATAGAGTATATTGAATTTATATTAGAGGTGGCATAATCTTGCAGCAACTGCTCTGGCTGCATCCTTAAGAGCCTCTTTAGCAGGAGAAGCCTGCCCTGGCAGTGCCATTGTGCCACAGGGCAGCTTGTGGCTGGGAAAGCCAAGGAATGGTTGTACGTGCCCAAGGCATTGTGAGCCCTCTGCTCACCTGGGGAAGCCACCAGTTTGGACATTTCCTAATACCAAGAGGCCTCGTTCTTCCTACTGTTCTGAAATTGTGTGCATCTTGAGTCCTGTCCTGGAGTGCTGGGAGATTTTCTCACTGTCTCTCTGAGGATTTTCTCCAAATATACCTGTTGGTTCCAAAGCAGATTTACAGTCTTCTCTCGTGTGTATGGAAAGAGTCCTCGCTTGGCAGATCTTGCTATCTAAATAATGCAAGATAAAACCTCAAAAGATAATACACAGTACAAGTTGATGGAAAGGTTAGTGAAAGGGCAGTTCAGGATTGAAACAGTTTAGACATATTGAACTCTATTTTCTTTCCGCTGGAAGGGCTGGAATTGGTACTGCGGGAAGAGGGCCATCCTTGGAGGCTTGTGGTGAGAGCAGCTCTGAGAACAGCAGAGCCCTCTGCCCCGCTGCTTCAGCGCTGCCGTCTGCTCGGCCTGCAAAGGGAAGGTCTGTGCAACAAACAAAAGGCAGCTTTGACGTCAAAACCTGGGACCGTTGCCCTGGCACTGGGAGGTGGAGCGCAGGAAGGAATCTGCTGCTAATAGGCTCTGGGCTGGAGTGCACTTTGGCAGAGAAACAGCTACTACCCCTTCTTTCCAGGAATAACATTGTTTATTTCTATCACTCTCTCTGGCTAAAGTTACCCTGCTCAGGTTTCGCTTCACCTGTCTCCACCATAAAATCATCAGAGCCAGGATAATTCCAGTCTGCAGACCCCCCATCCTTCATTCCCTCTTCCCTGAAGAGCTGCACTGCCTACTTTTTCTGTTTCCTTGCTTTGACAAGTTTGCAACCACAGCTTTCTCTTGCTGAAGGGTTTGGTGGTACAATTTAATAAATAAGCGCGTGCGTTTTGCTCTGGGTGTGCACACACGTGTAGCATAGTGCTCCTGCCTGCCAAGGAGCACTGACCTCTGCGGCTCTGTGTGCACAGAGCTTGCTCCCAGCAGCCGGACATATCTCTGCCTTGCGCAAATGGCTCTGTCCTGCAGACAAAAGCCTTATTCTGGGAAGTTTCAAAATGTTGCAACGCAACACAGCAACAACCTGAAGTTCAGTGGATTTGTTACATGGTTTTGATTGGCTCTGGTTTTGTTAAAAAAAAAAAAAAAGGACACTATTTTTACATCCATTTCAGGTTGCCAGCCTTTCTTGGGCAAACTTTAGACTGTTGAGTCATGAACTAAACCTTTAGTAAACTGCCCTGTATTTTCCTGCTTTATTCATCTTTCCTAGCCGTCCAGGTTAGGTCAGGCAATATTTGCCATCTGTGCAGTGGCCCTGCTCAGCACCACTGTGTTCTGTGCAACCTTGGGGTGCTGCTTCCCATCTTCTGCACAGGATGACAAAGGCTTCTCAGGTTCAGCAGCATTTGGCTGTGCACAAGCCAGGAGGAGATGAAAGGAATGTGATGAGAAGCGTTGGAAAGCTTCACTCAGTAAATCAAATGCAAGTTTGTCTCAGTCAGATAAGTTGTAATCCCTGATCACTGTTCTTCAGGTTGGCAGCAGGAAGCAGCCCATGGAGCAGCGTTCCCAGCTCTGCACCAAGCACTGCTGCTGCTCAGACATAGAGCTGTGGGCTCACAGCAGATCTCAACACCTCTGAGATTTAAGATTATTAAAGTGCATTGCCACCGTTTTATATACCCACGTGATGTGAATGAGAAGTACTGAAAATAGATCTAAGAGGCACGACAGTAGTAAGGATGTAAAAGGAGAGCTTTTGGCTCTTCTGAGTTTTGATAATTTTGAATTAAATTCACCACTTTAAAATGCTCTAGTTTCTTTTTTCCATTCAGGGTCAGTTAGTCCAGATTCTCCCTTTTCTGACAGGAGTTCATTTGCTATGCTGGCAGCCATTCACCTCCCCTCCCTGCTCAAAAGTCATGTGTTAAAATCATGTAGATGATCTACGTCAAATAAAAACTTTAAGCAGAGTTCAGCAGCTCTTCAGGGGTGGTGGTTTGTTTTATTTCTTCCCATAGCTCCTAGTGCATGCCTGTTGCGCTCATCTCATGGCATGTGCTTGAGGATCTGCAGCTTTTCCAGCTTGGTTCAGAGCTGTCTCCACTTATCTGTACTTCCCTAATCTGAATTCCTCGCTGTCTACGTGTTGCAAGAGTTTCTTTGTGTGTCATTTTACACAGAAGCCAGATCCTAAGAAGCAGCAAAAGACTTCTCCTTTAAAGAACGCATTTCCTCTTCCAATCAGCTGCCTCTGCTGCATGGTCAGGGCTGGCACGTGGGTCGTTCTGCTCTGTGCTCTGAGTTCCTGGAGGAGCCTGGTTGCTGGCTGGATGGAGCGCAAGGAAGGCAATGGGAGGGACCATCCTGCCAAAAAGCTGTTGGCAGATCAGTGCTAGCTGAGAAGAATGGCTTAGGCTGGAGGAGAACTTGAAGATCATGTGGTTTCAGCCCCACTGTCATGGGTGGCATGGCCAGCCACTAGATCAGCCTGCACAGGATCCCACCCAACCTGGTCTTGAATGCGTCCAGAGATGGGGCATCCACACCCTCTCCAGGCAAGCTGGTTCAGCATCTCACCACCCTCTGAGTAAAGAATTTCTTCCTCACATCTAACCTGGATGTCCCATCTTTTAGTTTAAAGCCGTTCCCCCTTGTCCTATCAGTATCTGACTGTGAAAGAAGGGGTTCTTGGATCCAGTTTTACTTCTCCAGCCTTCCTAAGAAAGGGAGGAGAAGGAACGTAACTTTCCAGCATTGCACTGTTCCAGCTGCTGTTCCAGATAGACACTGGTCAACGTTTCCGTGTTGAGCAACAACGAAGATGCTCCAGGCTGGATCTAAATCATCTTAATTTGATGCCTTAAGCCTATACTGTGCTTTCTCACTCTTTTTACCACTGTGTTTTAATTATGGATTATATTACATTGTCTCCTAGAGCTGTTGCCACCTCTTTAAGCTACTTAGGGGAAGAGAAAGGACTCTGACATGTCAGCAGGGGAGGAAGGCAAAGTGGGGCATTGGAGACACAGGAGGGAATTGAAAGATGAGCACACAACTGAGTGTTCCTGATAAACTGATTGGCAGGGAATTAATTAGCACTGGCACACTGTCATCACTGAGCATTGATGCAATTTGCTTGGCTCAGGCTTCCAAGGTTTTCTGCACGTGTCTTGGTCATAGAAACCCCCTGGCAAGCTGAAGATTGTTGGAGCAGAGGGGAGCTGGTGTGATAAACTGCACAGCTGCCCCACTTGAGAGATGCAGCTGTGGGATGAAAGCGGGCAGTGGAGAACTTCTGAATATCTTGGCAATCAGCCCCGCAGGGAGAGCAGCTCTGTGAGAAAAGGCTCTGCATTTTGTTAATGGGACAGAGGTAGTTAGCAGTGATGTGTAGAACTGAGCCCTGAGAGGTGACAGGAGTGGTTTGCTGCAAAAACACAGCAGAGGCTGAAGAGGTTAAAGGAGAATGGGCCGGGCCTGTTTGGAATGACTTTCAGTTTGGTTCTGTGATCAAGTGCTGAGAACCCCAAAGAAATAAAAGAAGGGATGGAGAACAGTAAAAAGGGGAAAGATGCTTTTTCTGTTGCATTTTAATTTTATTTTAATCATGAAGAGTTATGAAGTAAGGCAAATGACTGGTTGTATTTGCAGTGGCTATTTGTTTTAATTTAGAAAATGTGTGTGCATTTGTGTAGGAGCCAAAAAGCAAGGACCAAGAACTGGGGGAAACAGGATGCTGGGAGTCCTTGTAGAAAATGGCTTATAGGGAGGGGGATGCCGTAAAAGTGGGAAGCCAAGGGCAGCTGTGAAGTCTGGAAATCAGATTAGGAGTCACTTTCTGTAGAAAAGGAAGTGTAGGGAGTGAAGAGTGAAAAGAGCAGTTGTGAAAGGTGAGAGTGGAATATGGCCTGAATAGAACAGGGAAAAGAAGGCAACAGAAGTGTGTGAATTGGTGTGTTTTTTATATTGAGTTCTCTATTCAGTTGTGTTTCCCTGGCACCAGGTAATGTCAGACTGCTTACTCCTCTCCATGCCTTACACTGCATCCAAACATTCAGGTATTTTTGAAAGCTGCCAGGCGTGCAGCACAGCTGGATAACCATGCTGTGACCTTGATGAGTGCTCACAGCATCTCTCTGTCCTTGGCAGGGCTGCTCAGGATGAGAGCAGCTCCATCCTCTGTGCCAGGGCCCAATTTTTCCCTGGCTTTTCAGGAACTCAGGGGTGATTCCAATAGCCTGTTGCAGACCTGTGCTTCCCTCCCTAAATGCATCCTCTCTGACACCTCCATCATGCAGGGCATGCTGTCAGAGCCTGCAGCAGTAATGCTCCAGTTTAATCACCATCCTGAAATGTGAGTATTCTTCATGGTTTGATGGCTGCAGAAGCAGTGTCCAGGATGAAGAAGGAAGGAATTCACGTCATGTGCAGCTCATCAGCTGTTTTCTGAGAACACGTGTGGGCTGGAGTGGGAGCTTTGCAGTTGTCTCATAGGCAAGAGAGAGTAGCAATGAGAAGGAATGAAGGACAGCCATTTCCCAGAGCTGAGTACAACTGCACGTGCAAATTGGCAGTAGTGATAGTGCTAAGAGGTCAGTATCTGAAGGAAGAGTTACTCGTTTGATTTGTGCAGTTTTGCATCCTGGAGGTTGGAACCTCATCCATTTTATTTTTGCTGCTGGGACTCAAAACTTCCCTGTTTTTGCGAGGAAAACTGGAGTTTCTAAACAGAAAGAAAAAATGGCTTTCCTGGAGTGCTTCCTGCACCGCCTTCTCTCATGTCAGTAAAAGCACCTCATCTGTTCTGCCTGAATAAGTTAATTTAACTGTGGTGCCTGCAACTTTATTGTTGAAACTATAGCAACTGTAACTTAAAGAACAGATTTCGAACACCTTCTATGGAGCACTAAGGCTATTAGAAAATCATTTATATCTCGTACGCTAATATATGCAACAAGTTGATTTCTACCAGGTTCGTTGTAGTTTGGTGAGGAGTCCCAGTGCCATTTTCTGCCAAGAACTGTCCTTAAAGCTCATATGGTGCTCTCCTGCTTCTCGTTTCCACTTGCAGGTCTTTGATACAGTCCAAGAGTGTTCAACATTTGATTAACTCTTCCTGTAGTGGTGTCTGGGGAGAGTTTGGCATCTGTTATTGTACTCTTTGTTTTAGAGACGATTACATAGGGAGGCAGCTTGGAATTTAACCAGAGGTGAATGAGGAAGGAATGAAGATAACTTTGTATTTAGGTGGGATGAGGAGGAGTGCCACTGTCCACCCCCACCCAAGGCATTGCAAAGCTCAGAGAAACTGTTCACAACTCATCATCTAGGGTAGTGTTGTCGCCACTTTCAACGTAACGTAACTCAAAGCTTGCCATCAGTAAGCTATCTCTAATTACTCATCTTCCATTAATCTTAGCAGTGATCCATGGAAACCAGCTTGCGAGTCTGTGGCTTGAAAGACAGCCTGATGATGCCGCTAGTGACATCCATGCATTTTGTCACATCTTTTCTTCCCTCCCTGCGTCAGAAAGGGACTTGGATCTGAGGGCAGTCAGGCTCTGCAGTGTGTCACTATGGGGTCAAAGTCAGTGCCAGTTCCTCCAGAGGCAGCCTTGGTGGAACTTCAGCATCAGCTCGTGTCCTTCTTACCCAGCACGCTCTGACCTTCAGAGGTGCCTCTGGTGGATTTTTGCTGCTTGTTCTCCACTTGGCTTTGCAGTTGTTCCTAATGGAAGAGTGTGACCTATCTGTGGGCCGGTGTCAAGCTCCTGATCCATTTCTGACCCCATGGCCATTGCAAACAGAGGAAGGTCACCAAATAGACCATGGAGTTCAGGGATGGGGAGAGTAGGGCAAGATCACCTTTCAGATGCTTTGTGAGCTTGCTGGCCTGCTTTTACAACCCGTGGCACAGGGTATGTAGTACACGGCGTTCCAGCACGCTGAGGCTTCCAGATAAACTGTGCTGATAAGCCATGCCAGTGGGTTTTTTGGCTCCCATGGAAAAGACAGCATTGCACATGACTTGCTTACTGCCTGGCTATTTAAAGTAGCCCAGTGGCATAGTACCCCCGGGTAAGTGGTCCATAAAAATCATAGTAAAATATAGAAATTCTAGTAATGATTGGAATTCTTCAGCACAGATCAACATGAGTAGCTCCCTGCATGTGCCTGGCTTCTCAGGCACTAGGAGCTCAGGGCGATGTGTTCTGGGAACATAGTAATGGCCAGATTTTAATGGTTTCTTCTTTTTCCTCTTTCCTTTAATAAACACGTAAATTTTAAAAGGCTGTTAAGAAGGATGCACAGTGACACTGAATGCCACCTCTCCTCCAAAAGCCCTCTCTAATGTCTTTAAACAATAGTAAATATTGTTCATTGTGACTGTCTAACACTTGGTTTTAGATTGCCAAGGTGAAAGTCCATAGTAACCTTCCTGTGCTACCCAAATGTTCCTCTTTGACCTTATAGAAGTCAAATAAACACACTGTGTAGTGTGACCTTGTGGACAGGACAGGAAAAACTGCAAATAGTGCAAGATTGTCACCTTTCATCACAATGCCCAAGAATGAGGGTAGAATGTGTGCCATCAGAGCAGGGAAACACAGTTAGCTTATTTGCTTTCTTTCACCTCCTAGTTCTCATCCATTGTGGTCTGTCTTTTCTGGCTGTCATTTTCCAGTCTGAGAGCTTCCGTCTGAAAACCCTCAGCCTGTTCATGGCCAACTCCAGGGGAGCAGCTGGACTGGGTGCCGTGTTCTTTCTCCATCACCTTGGCACAGCTTTTCTGAAGCAAGAGAAATTGGACGTGATTAGCCAAGAAAATAACTTGCTGCCAGACGTGCCAGCCTCCCACAGCAGACATCTATTCCTTGGAAACGAATCCCAT